GAGGATAAGAAGACCTTGCTGGATCAGGCCCATGGCCCAACATCCTGTACTCAAAGCTGCCAAGCAGATGCCAATGGAAAACCCTAAGGTAGGACCCAAGCACAAGAGCACCCTCCCCTCCTTCAGAGTCCAGCAAATGGTATTTAGAAGCATTGCTGCCTCTGACCAGAGGCGGAGCGTAGCCATTGTGGCTAGGGCCTCCTTGGTCGTGGCACCCTCCCTGTGGAACGCCCTCCCATCAGATGTCAAGGAAACAAACAACTATCTGACTTTTAGAAGACATCTGAAGGCAACTCCGTTTTTAATGTTTGATGTTTTATCATGTTTGTAATATTCTGTTGGGAGCTGCCCAGAGTGGCTGGGGAAATCCAGCCAGATGGGTGGGGTATAAATAATAAATTACAGTGGACGCTCGGGTTGCGAACGTGATCCGTGCGGGATGCACGTTTGCAACCCGCAGCGTTCGCAACCCACAGCAGTGCGTATGTGCATGCACAGGTTGTGATTTGGCGCTTCTGCACATGCGCAAAGCACAATTTAGCACTTCTGCGCATGCACGACTGCCGAAACCTGGAAGTAACCCGTTCCGGTACTTCCGGGTTTCGGCGGGTGCATAACCCAAAAAAACGCAACCTGAAGCGGCTGTAACCCGAGGTATGACTGTATTGTTATCTTTATCAATCATCATCATCATAATCATCGTAGACACTGTTACAGATAGGTAGTCGTGTTGGTCTGCCATAGTCAAAACAAAACAAAATTCCTTCCAGTAGCACCTTAAAGACCAACTAAGTTAGTTCTTGGTATGAGCTTTCGTGTGCATGCACACTTCTTCAGATACACTGGTGTATCTGCAGTGTATCTGAAGAAGTGTGCATGCACACGAAAGCTCATACCAAGAACTAACTTAGTTGGTCTTTAAGGTGCTACTGGAAGGAATCGTAGACACTGACAGCCTTAGCCTTCATGAATTTGGGGACAACATCCCCATTATGACGACAAGGGCATCTTTCTTTCTCTTTGCACACCCTTTAAAAAGTTGCGGTTAAGTAATGGAAAACAGGGTGTGAGGATAACTAATGGAAAACAGAGTGAGTTACCCTTCCCACAGCCCTCATTCTGCTTCTGCAACACCATGTTTTGGGGCCAAGCAACAGCTCTTTAAAGCTACAATGCCCCACACATCTGGTTTGGTGATGGAAGGAAGATGTTGTGGGGGGTGCCAACCCTTCACAAGCAAATGGCTTGTGACAGCTCAGAGGTTCCCACACAGACAGAAGCCACCCTCTGCCACAAACTGTGTTTGTTTCCCAACAGGAATCAGGCTGGGAGAGCTTCTCGCAGCTGAAGTAAATTAACGTACCCTGTACATACTGTTTTAATATCTACATCTGGCAAGTGATATATAGCCACATCAAACTGTTGGGTTTTTTTAACTATCAAAATAGCAATTACTGGAGATGTCATGTAAGTAATTTGAAACTAATGAAATAATTCTGATTCCCTCTGCTCAAAGGCCTCAGAGTGCATCTAAAGTAAGCTTCATTTTAAGTGGCGTCCAGAAATCATCCAAGCATTGACTTACACACTTATTTTTTCTGAAAATCAAACATTTATAGGGATCTGCACATATTTCTTCATTTCAAATACCTCTGCACAGGTGGGAAGCAACTGTCCTGAGTGAACTGCGGTGTCTTTTGACACCTGAGGAGTACATTTTTTAGGACTCACCTTATTTTTGTGATTGAAAATAGTTTTAAACTTTTTAATATTGTGTTTTGATGTTGTAACTCATCCTGAGACCTGAGGGTGAAGGGCAGGCAACAAACAAAGAACAACCTGGCAAGAGGATGCAGACTGTTGTTTAATGGTCAAAAAATGTTCTCCTCAGCTCTGCTTATTACAACAATGATGAAAATATCCAAACCAAGCATAGAATTAAATGCCTGGTGTAGAACTACATTTCTGAGAGCGGAAATTGTGTTTGCTTCTTTAAATCAGATGTTTAATTCGCCTTGGCTCGGTGATGCCATTAGCATTTAATTATTAAATTAATACATTTTAATAGATGGGTGGGTGGCGCTGTGGGTAAAATCTCAGCGCCTAGGACTTGCTGATCGCATAGTCGGCGGTTCGAATCCCCGCAGTGGGGTGCGCTCCCGTCATTCGGTCCCAGCGCCTGCCAACCTAGCAGTTCGAAAGCACCCCTGGGTGCAAGTAGATAAATAGGGACCGCTTACCAGCGGGAAGGTAAACGGTGTTCCGTGTGCTGAGCTGGCTCGCCAGATGCAGCTTGTCACGCTGGCCACGTGACCCGGAAGTGTCTGTGGACAGCGCTGGCTCATGGCCTCTAGAGTGAGATGAGCGCACAACCCTAGAGTCTGGCAAGACTGGCCCGTATGGGCAGGGGTACCTTTACCTTTACCTAATAGATGGGTAAGTTTTGCTTAAATTGGGGGTTGAAACTTACTGTACATTTATGCTTAAAGCTGCAATCCTATACTTACTTACCACTAAGCTCAATGGGACTCACTTTTAAGTAGCCCTGTGCCACTGCAGTTTTCTCCATTGAGCTGAATGGGGATGACATAATGTGCAAGAGTAATGTACAAGGTGTGTATATAATTGCACACAGCCCCCTGATCTAGGCAAATAGCTGTAGATTTTCAATGTAGCTCTCCTGCAGTGAGTGATAAGGATACTTGCAGATCTGGTGAGAAGGGCTTTTCAAAATAAAGCTTTAAATCTCAGTAATACAGCTTCTGAACCAAATGCCAGATCTCACACAGTGAGATGTTGAAGGCCCATTGAGCTGCTGAAGCAGAGCTGATTTTTAATGCACCCAATCTGCATTCAATCACTGATAACTTTTCTGTTGGGTTGGCAATTCTTTTCCTAATGTGATTTTTTCTTGCCTCCAGCATATCATTCTTTTCCACACAGAGGTTTTGGCAGGACTAGTTTTTGTTCTCTCATCATGCTCGTAGAAGAATAAGGGAGTGAAAATGTGAAAAGGCCAGCAATCCTAAAGTGGATTATTATATGGGAACTGCTTTTTGATAGCAGGGGAACACCAGGCTTGAGATGTAAAGAAAAGGGTTTCATCCATTTCCCATGTAGCTTATTGTGAGAGTGGCTGCGTGTGAAGTCTTCCATTATTTCTGTACTTCTTGAGGGGCCAAAGTAATGTTGGTGTCAGGAGTTGGCATAGTTGGGACTCTGTCAAGACCAGTTAGGGACTCAGTGCCAATCCCTGGAGCTTCCCTGACCCTCTCTGCTCCTCCTTCTCACTGGAATAACAGGCTTCATCCGTGTCATTTCTAGGTAGGACTGGAAGAGATCTCTGATTGAAATTCTGGAGAGTCACTGCTAGTTAGTGCAGACATTGCTAAGCATGATTCAATACAAGGCAGCTTCCTCCGTGCTTCACTCTTGCTGCAAGTTCACCTGCGCCCTGAGTAAACAAACACTGAAAGGAACAAAGATGAGTGTGGCCCTTTTACATACCTTGTCCTTACTCTCCAAGATGTGGCGCTTATTAGCAAACAGACAGGCAGCAACACTGGCGGTGAGGGTGGGGTCCCACGAGCGTTTTGACCAAGAGGTCTCCCCGCCCCCCCCCCACACAAAAAGAAAAACACACCTTGAACCAGTGGTGACAATAAAATATTGCAGGGACCCAGGTAAGCCCTGCTCCTCATAATCGATCACATGATGCAGTGCACACACCCCAATTGAATAGGAATGCCCATCAGCTTTACAAATATTTATTGTGGGGGCCAAAGCCCGCACAGCCCCTAGGAGTTGGCTCCTATGTCTTGAACTGGCATTGGATCAAAGAACGATTGCATAGGGTTAAGGAGAGGCAGAACTTGTTTTTTTGGGAGATGCAACAGCAGTGCTGCATCTAGGAGCCCATCTTGGAGTATTTGCTTTTAATTGTAACAAAGAGCATCAGAAATGGGTCTAGTCGCTGAGAAACATGACAAACTATGCTTGATGTGACAAACCATCACCACGGATTGAAAACAAGATCCTGAACTTAAACATATGACTCAAGTCTTCACAGAGGTCTAAATGAAATGGAAAGAGCTGAGGTCAATTAATGGTGCTCACTGGAAGGACAGATCGTGAAGCTGAGGCTCCAATACTTTGGCCACCTCATGAGAAGAGAAGACTCCCTGGAAAAGACCCTGATGTTGGGAAAGATGGAGGGCACAAGGAGAAGGGGACGACAGAGGAAGAGATGGTTGGACAGTGTTCTCGAACATGAGTTTGACCAAACTGCGGGAGGCAGTAGAAGACAGGAGTGCTGGCGTGCTCTGGTCCATGGGGTCACGAAGAGTCGGACATGACTAAATGACTAAACAACAACAACAAAGCAATATTGAAGATGGATGAAAATCTCTGATTCAGATCATGCTTCTTCCCATCCCAGCATTCACAGCAGCCTCCATCTCCGCTTTGCACCTAAATACACGCTCCTTGTGAAATCTTCTCTATTACATTTGTTCTCCTGCTACTGAAGCTATTTTAAACCACAGTTTTTAAGCTGTAGCGTCCAAGATGTGACAAGCAGGATGGGTACATTTGCTGGGGGAATGCAGCATATAATTCTACTAGTTTTAGCTGGGCCTCAAACAGTAGGTTGCTAAATATATTTGTTAATTCAGGAGAGTTGTGCAGAAATTGTTAAGCTAGGAGAGTTGTGCAGAAATTTCCACTGGCAAGCCTATGGCTGCCACCTGGTGGTTGCTGACTCCACTCCAGTCCTTTTTATTTTATTTTTGATGTACTGTACTATTTGGAATCAATAAGATTGCCGGAATAAGCCAGGGTCTCAGGCTCATTTATTGTTGAATGTTCATTTTTCCCAGTAACCATTCTCCATCATTTAAAACTAAAGGCTGCTGCTGCTGCTGTTGTTGCTTTAAATGCCTTCCTCAACCAGAGTAGGAACATACAGTTTTCAATGTAACACAATAAATGAAGGATTGGACTGTTAGGAAACATTGGAGTTTATTAAATGCCCTATTTTAAGCCAAAATCAAAATATCCCTGTTCTGTGTGCTAGAAACAGAAGCCACTCTAAGGAACTTCCATGCATGCCCAACGAAAAGCATTTCAGAGGAGACTATGGCTTTTTAGTCTATTATGATATAGAAGAATGTTAGTTTTGTCTTTATGCCCCTTAATTTTTTGTATCTGGGTCAACATGGATGATTCATTTAAGGCACTCACTCCAAAATAATGTTACTTCTGGCCTGAGATTGCTGATATTTTTCATTACATTGTGGCAAGTAATTTGGAAGCAAATTACTCTGCTAATGATAATACTGATCAAACAGAAAACAATTCTAAAACAGGGAAAAATAAAGTACATTATATACACAACCATGATTTCATTTTAACTTACAACCCACTGTAATCTATTTTCTTTTCTTTTCTTTAAAAAAATGTATTAAAGACTACTTAAATACTGCAAGGTTTTAAATAACGTAACAATATTTTCAGTGAACTGAGATCTACTACGTATCTGCCAGCATTATTGGCCCCATTTGAAACAAATACTTCTTAAATTTAAACCTTGTATATAAGGAAATAGTTCCAAAACAGATACTCCATTCCACATAAATAAGTATAGTTTTGTCCTTGCTTCAAAAATGCTCAGCTGTTCAAATTACTGGAAAACAGAGCTGTGGTTGCTTCCCCTTTCATCATATCTTTCCATTTCAGAAAGAATCCTTCATTGCTAAATCTCCCTTGTAAAATATTGTTGTATTTCCAGAATACATAATGGACCATTAGTAAAAAGTGTTAATTGCAAACCCTGAACTTTACAGTAAAAGTTAAAAGGAAATTCTCGTAGAAAGTCCTATGGAATGTGCACTCTGCGGAGTAGAGTCTGGTTCATACTGGGCTGAAGTGGAAAATGGCTCCAGGAGAAATCCTTTGAACAAACCAGAGATGTGTGCTATTCACAATTTCAAAGTGCAAGTTGGTGTGTTTTTCTTTTTAAAAAGAGTGTTTGTCAGGCTCTTATTCAAGGCCACTAGCCAACACTGTGCAGGAAACTGGATGAGAGTCTAAAACAGCATGACAGGTAGATGATGTGCTTCACTTAGATTTGCTAAGTCCACAATGTCCAGTCAGCACCGCAATCAATTCCTTATCGCAGGGTTTTGTCCTCCTGTGATATCCTTCCTGGTACTGGGCAGAAGTCATTCCTCAGTTTCAGAACTCCTGCACCAACCAACCAACCAACCGCAAAACAGGGTAACCAGGCCTGCCTATATAAAAAGGCAGGAGATGCGTGGAAAGGCAGTTTTAGTGCACCAGACTGCCTAGAAGCACAGAACCCACAACCCTCCTCTCTCTTCTGGACTCAGCACCATGGGCAAAAGGTAGGATCAGTGCTCAGGAAGCATCGCTCTCTGCTGAACGCTTCTGTGATTCCAGGACATGGGAGTTTCCTTCACTTCTATAAATCTCCATCTGCAGGGGGTTGACACAACTTGTAGATTCTGTAAAGGCGTGACATAAAAAAAAAGTTGATGTTACAAAAGGGACACTAATGGCCAGTGGAATACAGTCATACCTTGGAAGTCGAACGGAATCAGTTCCGCAAGTCCATTCGACTTCGGAAACCTAAGCGCGGCTTCTGATTGGCTGCAGGAAGCTCCTGCAGCCAATCAGAAGGCCGCAGAAGCTCCGTTGGATGTTTGGCTTCCAAATAATGTTTGCAAACTTCTGGGTTTGTGGAATTCGGGAGCCAAAACGTCCGAGTACCAAGGCGTTTGGGATCCAAGGTACGACTGTGCAGCAAAACTAGTTTAAATAATTTCAAGTGATTTCCATCTAAGGGCAACAGTGACACTGCCAACACAAAGAGGAGGATGGGACTGGTGACAGGAAGAGTATGACAGGCAAGCCTCTCCACTCCAGATCCCCTGGGTTTGTAAGCCATGAGTGGTGGGCTTTGGATAAACCATTCTTCAGTCCTCTGATATTGTTTTGGGTAACCTTCCTTCAGCGCTTCAACATCTCTAAGTCCAAAATCCATGTGCTTCTTACTTCTTAAAACGCATTTTGGCATAAATCATTTTAATGATCAGACTGCTTTTTAAAACTTGCTGTAGCCCATAGCCAAAGCATTAGCTTATGAATTATCTTTGCTTATCAGTTGTCAGTTCTGCTACTGTAGCATCTCGCCATTCCTCAGGCAGCTGACAATGCCCTGACAGCCGCAAGATAACCATCACAAATTTATTTTATACAAAATGGAGCTACCCGTTGCTATTTTTCTAGAAACAGAGGGGCCAGAACTGAGTTCTGCCTGAAAACAAGCCCTGGAACTACCCAAAAGGGCTAGGAGGAGTGTAAGATGACTTGAAGAACAGCTATAAAAACCCTGCTGCAATCTGTAAAGCACAGTATACACTAGATTGGAGCAGTGTTAAATGCCTATGTAATATTAGGGATGGACTGAGTTGCAACATTCCATGTCACTTGTGTTCAACTCAGAGATCCATTCCTTCCTGGTTTCTGCACTTTTCTTTCTTTCTTTCTTTCTTTCTTTCTTTCTTTCTTTCTTTCTTTCTTTCTTTCTTTCTTTCTTTCTTTCCTTCCTTCCTTCCTTCCTTCCTTCCTTCCTTCCTTCCTTCCTTCCTTCCTTCCTTCCTTCCTTTTAAAGTACAAAGCCCTTCATTTAAGCTGCATGCATTTTGTACATATCTCTATGTAAGAAGCACATTTTTCAATGCATTCATTTGTAAAGCACACATTTTGTGTGCTTCTTAATGAAAAATACTTTTTTTTTTTTTGCACTGAAACTACACAGCAAAATATGGAAGAGGAATCCAACTGGGATTTGTATTTTGATCCACAGCCAAGTCTGGGAGTATTTGTTGGGGTTCGCCTGCCGTAAAAAGGGAAACTGAATGAACGTTTCCCCTTTCCCTAATATCACAGAATCAGATGTGTGTATATACACAAAAATCTGAAGATGCATTTCTTCAGGTGAAATCCTTGCTGTATAGAGTCACCTACCGGGGTGCAGACTGTGGCATCTGATCCATCACTTTCAGATTTTTTGCAGAGATTTCAACTCTTGGTCCCTAAAGAAACACAAAACATTAGGTGGTGTGTTGGCAGTACGAGCGAGAGAGTGCAGCCCTGGAGAAAAACCCTGAAAGACAAATATATTACTTTTCTTTGAAAGCACTTTAGCTTCAGCTACTAGCTTTGGAAAGCACCAAGGTAGTCCATTAGTCATCTGTGTTTACTTAAGATGAAAGGATTCCCAAAGCACTCTGCAACTGCTCCAGCCCAACACTGTAAGATTATCACGATATATATGCTGTAAGCCGCCCAGAGTGGCGGGGTATTTATTTTTCTTTCTTTTTATTATTATTATTAGTATTATTAAACAGAATGAAAACAAGAATATGGACACCATGCACAGGACGTTGAGTACAAATGTGGTATGGACCACTGCCCCTTTAAGCATAAATATTTGCAATGGGCTTATTTTCTATTATGCCTGTTTTTGGATACCATTAATATAATGGAACATACTGACATTCTGCATGTGACACAATCTACGTCCTTTGCCCCTATGCCCCGTTTGAAATATTTTGCAGCTTCTGTTTTCTTTTTTTGCATTCAACCCTTCATAAAGTCTTACTTGTTTTCTCATGATGTCTGTTGCCTGCATGATACACTTAGGCAGGAGTCCGTGACTTCGAGCCAATATAGCTGCTTGTTCCAAGGACACGCTCAGCGTACTCCTAAAAACAGAACATAAAGAATGTCACTTTATTTGTATAAAGAGGTGATCCTATGGTCCCTGGGCCACAAGACTTTTGGATCCCCCTATCTGAGGGTGGATGGAAAGGTCCACTCTCAGACAGGGAGATTTGACCTTGCAAGGCGCCTACCTACAAACCCTCTTCTACATCCAGAACATCTCCACTCTCCACTCTGATAGAACAAAAAGGAAGCCTGTCAGGATGGGCTGTGGATCTGCAGGTTTCAACAGCTCCCTGTTCTTCCTGAGTGTGGGAGAAAAGCTATGCAAGCCCTGTAGCTGGTGCAGTTTTGTTTTCAAAGGACAACCGGCTGCACCTCATTCCTCCCTGTCCCTTTGGATTGTTCCATCTGAGGTTGTTGGTTCCACCCACCCACCAGCAAAACCAATTTTCAAAAACCGTCCTTTCATTTCAAAGGTCCTGCTTTCTCTGAGTTCCAGTTGAATACTGCATTGGTTTATTTCTATTTTAAATAGCAAAGCTTTACAGTTCATCATTACTGGTTTTAATCCTGCTTTATATTGTTTTCATGATAGTTTTCATGGTGAGCGTTTTAACTTTGCTTGCAAAACAGAAACAAAAATGTGGAACTCTGGACAAGTCAAGCGAAAGGTAAAGTAGTGGAAACAAATAATCATGTAAGTGTGTTAAAGGGACTCCATGCATTCAAAGTTCAAGCAAGCCAAAGGTGAAGGTATAAACTAATTTATTCCAGAGTAACCTCCTCTGACAAGCAGAAAATGAACCTAAATAACTTAGGTCCAGTGCTGAAACATGTGTCTGTAGATGGTGACTCACATGATTTCTCCATGCGCAAACAACACAGAAAACGGGATGCTATATTCTCCCTGACATCCAAGTTTTATATGCAGAGGGATTGTTTCTATTTTTGAAATGACGAAGCATTCAGTCATGTAAATCCCCACTTGCAATGGCAGAGCCCAGGGATCTACCAGTAGGTCACTTTCAAAAAATGTTCATTCCAGAGGAGCACAACATTTGTTTTGATTTAAAAGCTCTCACCTTTGCATTCCAGTGCCGCACATTACAATCTGGCAGGCTCCGAGGCGATAACAGAGTTCAGAGGATATAGGCAGCAGTCCAGCCCCTGCCACGTAACTACTGGAAATATCCCGACTGGCTGCCTTTTGTGCTGACAAAAGATTTCATTAGTCTGCAAAGCTCATCCATTGCATTGATGGGACGGATAAGCTACAAAAGAACACAAAGGAAGAATGCAACAGTGAAGCATCTGTACCTACAGGCTCCCCTGCCCTCAGTTATACCCAGTCTAAATGCTTATGCCAACAACCATTCATCAGAGCAGCTTCCAAAATGGTAAGTCGAAATTGTTGTTTGCCCACAGGGGATTTAAGGCCAAACTATACATTACACTGGCACTCCCAGAATAGTTTTCTTTTTTGCAAAAGCAACTATATCAGGGCCAGAGCATGGGGGTGAGTTGAAGATGGTGTCTAAATCTTTCCTTGTGCAACATCAGACACTATATATACTTTTCCTTGTTCATTTGTTCATTTTGTGACAAAAAAATACTTTTATCAAAAACTATTTTTAAAGAAACCATTATACCCTTGTTTACATTATTAGAGACATAAGGGAAAATTTACAAGCTTAAAATGTTAAGCCTGTAAGCTTTATTTCCCATAGCTATTAGTAGCTTTCAGGCGGAAATCTAGATTGGGGCTGCAGCAAGGGTTAAGCCTCTGCCCCAGTCCAAATCAGGAGGCCTTGTAGGTTCTTTCACAGAAAGTTACGTGGGGAGGTCCAAACATGGCAGTCTTAACTAATTATAGTTTGCTCCTTATAAATGGGTTAATGGGGACTCAGGGCGGCATTTTACACAGGCACTGCAACAAACCTAGACTGGCAATTGAGTCTACACTCAATAGGGATCTGTGGCTACTGTTCGTTTGTCAAATTTACCTTTTTAAATGTACACTTGAAGCACTTAAATGTGTGAAGAGGTCCAGAGGACGTTTGAGAAACTGCAGATATGAACTAATGGGGTTCATATTAGATTTAGGGCTGCCTAAGGCAGATGGATCTCCGCCAGGTGTGGCTTTTGCCATGTGAAGTCTGCTTCCCTCTGTCCTTGCTCCTCTACCATCATATATATTCCAGGCTCTGACTCCAATGTGGATTCCCTATGACCCTTCTCCATGCTCAGGCAAGCATATTGAATCTCACGGTTCTAGTAAAAAACCTAGCCGATCCCATACTCCTGCAGCCTGCTCACCCCAACTCTACACAGAAGGATAGGCAGCCAAGAGAGAAGTGGCTTTGTGACTGCCAGATGGGCCGGCCAACCAGTGCTGTGCACAGCCAGCTTCTCCTAGAAATAAGGGAGCACTGGTTGCTCCTGACCTCAGCTCCGGTTTGGAAGTTTGCACTTACTGCACATATGCCAAGAAGTGTGGTTTCTGTACCTGATCAATCTTCACAGGCTGTGGTGTTGGAATCTGTAGGGCAGGTTGGATCTCTCAAGGTAAAATGTTCCTGAAAGTAAGAAACAAGCCTGTATTAGGTTGTGGTCATCTAGTTTCAAGCATTCCTATAAGGCGTTTCTTCCTAAGGGGCATGGCTGAGGAACAAGTCAATGGAAGGCTAGATGTGGCCTATCAAATATGTTTCTGTGGCCCAAGGAATGGTGCCAGAATTATAAGACTCTTTACTTCCATTAAACATGGTCCGGCTCATAGTCAGAAGCTGTTACTGGCTTCTCCTACTCTTTTAAAGGGTTCATGGTGTAGGGTTTCCCCACACAAAATGTCAGGTAAACAACTATGACCCCATTCGCACATTACAATCTTGGGACCAATAAATCATGTTTTATCGGCCTGAGAATGAGCTTTGCCCTCACTTTTAATTCTCCCTTCCGCCATCTGGCTTTCATGCTTATATCCTGGCCTTGTTAATCCATACTATGGCATGCCATCCAAATTCAGAAATGATGGTTTAAAGTGCTGTTTACAAACCAGCATATGAAACCAGAATCAGTTACTAGAACATTTGCATCCCGTCTCCAATTGCTTTCTCTCTTTCTTTTTGTACTATGTACATTTAAAAGGTTCTCTTATTTAACACCCAAACAAAACTTGAATTAAGAAAATCTCAATTCAAATGTATGGATTTTCTCTCAAATGAACAGGCTCAGATGGCAAGCACCCTGGGGCAGGGACTGGCCTTCATGTATGCTACCATGTAAAGAACCACCCAGACTGATAAAATCTTAATAACAATAATAATGTTGAGTACAAACAGCATTCTTTTTATGCCACAATACCTGAGTTTGCGATAATACTGCTGCACCTTCTCAAGAGAGCTGGAATTAATTTGCTGCTGGAGCTCTTCTAGAGAGGAACCATTAGGCTGGGACTGGCCTTCCAGATTTTCAAGGGCTGTAATGATTTTCATGAAAAACATCATGTATTCATTATAAAGCTCACCCGTTTCTGTTATTTCTTCTGTCACCACCACTATTATACAATGTGAAAGTACACTAGACTTCTTAGAATGCTAAGTGGTTTACAATCCTGATCTTTATTCTCCCTCACCATGGCCCCATGAGGCATGTTGCCATTGCACCCATTTCACAGATGGTGTGCTGAGACTGAGAGTCCAATAACATGGAAGGCCCATGCATATGTGCAGATTACAAAATAAGCTCAATGTGCCTGACCCTATGCTTACCCTCATCCTGTCAGCATTGTGAAATGGTTTTCTAACTGGCATATTTTACCTGCTTCAGATTAGGTTTAAGCTTCCTTAAATTTAATTTACACTGTCTCAGACTTTGCCTTGCAGATTTAATAAGCTGCCAAAGAGCCAAGAGCTGAGGGCAACATTCATCTTTATCACATAAGTCTCAATTACGAGCATCGTCCACCCCAATTACATTATAGTCAGTGGCTTAAAGGGAAAAAACCGAACAAACAGAATTTCGCCTGTACCTTTTGTGAAGAGCACAGCATGCAGCTTCAGGCTCCCTCCGTTCTGAAACCGGGAAGGCAGTTTGGAGAAGTAGTAGCTGTCTAAGTAAAAGAAAACCTTCAAAACCTGCCTGTTGCCTTCAACATGGTAGAAGACATGTGTATCTGGGGGAACAAAAAGACAGGTGTTGGAGACTGAATGAGCTTTAAGAGAGAAATGTTTTTTTAAAAAAACGACTGTGCAATAAGAGGTACTGTAGCTTAAGCTCTCCTGAAAGTTCCATCCTCTGTCTTATCACTCTTGCCTCTTAATCCAGCTCATATGAGAGGGATGGTTACTGGTGAGAAAAACATGCCCTGTTCACGCTCTACTTCATTACTATAGTAGCAACGTTATAAAACAAACCAGCAACAAAAAAAGCAGAGTTGAATTAAATTA